CAAAAAAAAAAAAAAAAAAAAAAAAAAAACTTTGTCACATTCTTCACATTTGTAGTTTCTCTCCAGTATGAAGTCTACAATGGTATACAAAAGGTGATTTCTGACTGAAGGTTTTGCCACAGTCAAAATGGTGATACCTTATTTCTACTAAAAATACAAAAATGAGCCAGGTATGGTGGCATGTGCCTGTAATTCCAGTTCGGTTGAGAGGCTGAGGTAAGAGAATTGCTTGAACCCAAGAGGTGGAGGATGCAGAGCTGAGATCATGACAGTGTACTCCAGCCTGGGCAACAGAGGGAGACTGTCTCAAAAACAAAGAAACAGTCAGAACCACAGCTGGAAACACTTGTCAGTGTCATGCTTTCTATCTCTTATCCTGGACCGTGCAGACAATTCTGCTTAGGGCCTCCAGGGGCATCTCTGACTAGAGCAGAATGATGTTCAACTCTATTAGTCCACGTGTTCATGAATTTTCTGTTTTTATGTAAAGCCACTACACAGGAGAGTCCCTAAGAAGCTATTCATGCCCCATAAAAAAGTCATCACTGCAGACATCAATGACATGTACATCAAAAGTATATATGGGGCAAAATCACAATAGAGAATACAAACCAGGAAGAGCCAAGATAGACAAGGGCAGATTCCTCGTGTCTGGAGGGACATTTTCCTCACCCACAGACTCCAGGTTCCTGTAGTTCTCCAACATCACTTCCCTGTATAAAGCCCTCTGCGCAGGGGTCAGGCATTTCCACTCTGCCAAAGAGAATTGTATAGCCACATCCCTGAAAGTCAAGTGTCCCTAAAATGAAAAATACATTTCAACAAAACATTATGGAGCAGTGAGTTATCACCTTCACATGAAATGAAAAAGAAAATAAGTATGGATTTGATCCCAGGCTCTGTTAGGAGAAATCCACATTAGGTATTTTTAACATTTTTTCTGTATAGTTGCTTTTTATTGTACTTCTCCATAATAAATTTTAAAATCATGTAAGCTACTGTGGAAGTCTCTTTTTTTTTTTTTTTTTTTTTTTTT